CCCCCCCCCCCCCCCCCGGTTGGGTCAAGCTAATGAGATCTAGGTTCAGCACATTTGTAGTAAAAACAATATGGAGCTTATTGTAGAACTAGAAAATAAACGTTGTATCAAAATGTCACAAATTGAATAAGTGGAGCAACCAGTTGGAAGGCAGGTTGGCACTCGAGCATAAGATAATCTAAGAAAGAATGGGAAGTAATCTTGAGTTTTTCTCAAAACGGTTTTAAGACTTTTTTGAATGAGACACTTTCATCTATGATATTATGTAGATGCCATAAGAGCTGGTGGGAGTGGGTCAGGACAGATTTCCAAAGGACCAGGATTTAGTCCCTAGCGTGAGGATGATTGGGGATTTCTCCTGAGTGCTCTGTGTTAATACCTCATTGAAATTATATATTCTTGTTTGATGGAAAGTATCTATTCTAGTTTGCAACTTAGGAAGCACTTAAGGGTATCAGACATGACGCAATACAGATTACATTAGTTTTCAGGAAAAAAAGGGGGGTTAAAAGATGTGAAGTGTGCAGGATATATCATTAAGGTTAATGTTATAAAAACTTGTACAAACAAAGATAGGCACAGGTTTTTGCATTATTAGTGCTTCCTAGTTTGCAACTCGAACTGTTAGATTCTTGCTCCAAATTGACTTGGAAAAATGTCTGCTTGTAAGAACATGAAAGAATTACAGGCGATGAGATTAACTGTGCTGTACTGTAATTATCGTGACATTGAAGCTTGTGTATGGATGCATATTTGGACCCACATGTAGCACCGGTTCATTACAACCAATTACCATAGTGTTTTTTTCCTTCTTCTTCTTATGGAGTAACTTTAGCTTGGATATCTTTTCATCTTAAATTCATAACATCTAATGACTTGATCAAATGTGATCTTCAGTTCTTTAATTGTAATGATTACACCGAATCCTTCAAATAGTTAAATTGAAAAGGCTTGGAAAAGTGTGATATCAAATTCAGAATTCCTTCAAAAAAAAATTTCATGTATGTTCATGTATAGACATACTTTAAACCCTATACACTTGTGCAGTTCCACTTTACACTTCCCTCTACAAGCTTAGCATTGATCTAGAGAATTTTGTACTGACATGTGATAAACAATCCCTAATTATAAGATTTTTGTGTTTGGAATTTACTAGTTGTGGATCATGAGTGAATACCAGGCCAGATGTCGTTATCTGTTTGAAATTCACTTGCCTGCAAAATGTGCCAAATTGATTTTTGGCATTTCCTCGTTATTCTAATTAGTGATTACTGAATGATGATCTTGACTGTAATGGGGCTAAAGACTAATGGATGTTGAAGAATTTCCAAAATAAAGGGAATTTGGTGGGAAGATCATTATGTGTTCGGAATTTACTAGTGGTAGATCATGAGTGTAATGGAGCTAAAGACTAATGGATGTTGAAGAATTTCCTAAATAAAGGGAACTTGGAGGGATGATGATAGGCTTTAATGCAAATAAGGTAAGATAAGTAACTATTACTTATCCCACGTCCGAAAATAAAGAGCTGGAAGACTACCTTGTTAGTAATTATGTCTGTTAGACATTTGTGTTCTATAAAGGCTCAATTAAGTGGACATGCGAGTGAGGACCAAGTGATGCAACATCTGAGCCTGCGTTAGGGAGCATTGTTTATAATAATTATATAATTAGAACCGTTAGACAATCAGCTTATAATTATTTTCATCTGTGTTCTTAAGCTGTAAGAAGGAAAGAGATGGATCAACTTTGTTGATTCGATCTTTTAAGATCTCTAAAAGCTTTAAATGATGATTAAACTTTGATGGATTGTGATTTCAAGTGTTAATTGTTTTGCTGAAATTTGTTGAATAGTGATAAACTAGCTGGATTTCAATACATTTTCAACAGTCCAACATTTCTTGAATCTTGATTTTGCTAAATAGTGGCGTCTTAAGGCCTTCTTTGTTGTTGGAATGAGATACTTTTCTGATAGCCTTTTACAGGTTTCATCAATTGTCTGAATTTGACCAAGGAAAACGAAGCTGTCGCAGAAGACTTGCCGGACACAACGAGCGTCGAAGGAAGCCACCACCTGGATCTCTATTGTCCACTCGCTATGGAAATTTTTCTTCATCCGTCTTTGGTTAGCCATTGCTGATTGGGCTCCTCTCTGAATTCTAGTGCTAATATTTTTCATAAGCCTGAGTTTTTTAATTTAAATAATTTTCTCTTGCACTTAACTGAGTTGTTCAGATGTTTGATATTTGCCTTGACAGAGACCGATGGCAGAAATGGAGGTTTCGTGATGGACTTCTCTTTGTACCCAAGTGCAGCCGGGAGAAATTCATGGCCAAATATGTCATCATCTGAACGAGGATTGGGGAATCAAGTTACTGTCGCCGAAAAGTTTCTTCCATCACCATGGCATAGCAACTCAGAGAATCCTCCACCACCCAATCTTCTGCAAGGTTCAACTACTAGTGCCAGCTATTTAGGTCCGAGATTATCTTCTGGAAGTTTCAGTGGAGTCTCGGACTCCGGCAGTGCTCTCTCTCTTCTGTCAAGTCAGACCTGGGGCTCAAGAAACATACCCTCTTGTCCCGGGCTGAACACTTTATATGGTGCCAATGGGACACCCGTGGTCCAGCCACCAGTTGCACATGATGCACCTGTTGGCAACTTTATGAGCCTTCCATGGGGATTCAAGGACAACCAAGCTAGTACCGGTTCCCACGAGATGCCCCCCGATCTTGGTTTAGGTCAGATTTCACATCCGGCCAACAGTCAATATTCCGATGAGCTCGCATTGGCTCAACAAGGTGGCGGACAATACCATGAACTCGAGCTCTCAACTGGTTATACTTCTTCGGTCGAGCATATGCACTGGTCTCTTTGAGTGTCTTTTTACTTTTCTAAAGCCGAGGTCCTTGGAACCTTGTCTGTTCTAATAAACCTTGGGTTTCATAAGTTCTTTTTTGCTACTGCATTTGTGTGATGTTGTACTCTGCGCTCTTCTGCTAGGAGAAGCATGACTTTGTGCTCGCCTATGTTTAATGTCATTGGATGATAGACATCAGCTTTTGTCCTACTGTTTGTTTTGAAATCATTTCTTGTGGAAGTAGCTGAATTGCCCATTTATGTTATAATTCAAGAACCCTACTGAAAGTGTGAACGGTCTTGTACTCTACTTCGCTAGCTTTAATGGTTACCGATTTTCTTGATCAAACGGGCAGTTCATTCCAATTCTTGTAACAACAAAATGCAAAAAGCCAAAGCCAAAGCCAAAATTTTGCCCTATTAATGAGCAAAGTTTCCCATACAAGCAAAACAATTTTCCAATTCTGATGCTATTTAGTCGACTCAGAAGTGTATTGCTGCAGCGTGAAAGGAGCAACTGCCTGGACTTGATGTTGTAAGGACAAGGTTTCATCATTCGCCAATTCAATTGCACACTCAGCCGCTGTTGGATCCACATTATTTTTTCATTCTCATTCTTCTACTGAGCTTGTTTGGGATAGATTTTTGAGGGAAGAATTAATTTTGAATAGTGATATGATGGGAAATGTGTGGTTGAAAAAGAAGAAAAAATTATTGATGTGATGGAAAATATTAGTTTATTGAAGAATGTGTGGTTGAAAATGAAAATTGATTTACTGTAGAAAAATTTAATCTCTCCCAAACAGACCTCATTTTCAACCACACATTTTTCAATAAAATAATATTTTACATCACATCAATAAATTTTCCTTCTTTTTTAACCACATATACCTCATCACACTACTTCAAAAAAATGCATTATCTCATTTTAATGTGTACCAAACGGGTTCTGATTAAAAAATGCTTTAATATGATGGTCGTGTGTCAAACCAGAAATAGAAGATAACATAATCAGAAGTCAAACATTAAATGGAAATTAGTTGCAAGTAAAAATCATTGCAAAGACCTCAAATAAATCGTCGAGGGTCTTATTCCGGTATTCTATTTCCAACAGCTTGACTCCTACTATGGTTAGTGTCGAGAGCTTCGGATGAATCACTAAGCAAATTTGAACCAGGTATCGAAACAGTACGTGACAAATCAGCTTCTTCAGTTCCATCAACCTGTGGGTTTTCAACAAATATATCCCAAGGGCTCTCTGACATGGATGCATATGGAGCGTCAGAGTTCTCCGGATTCGACATTACCTGGTGAAATTCGACACCATCCTTAGGAGAATCTTCCAAAATGTCACTACCATTAAGAATTTCATAAGGACCCAAACCATTCCCAGTGTCTTCTGTTTCTTCCACAGTGCCAATATCCCAATCAATCTGAGAGCTGTCCACAGTAATGATACGGTCAATACTGTCAGCGCCAGTATCTGTTGTTGGGAAAAATTGGTTTCATTAGTTGGTTCGACCAACTATTTTAGTGATTTCGTTAGTTGGACAAAAGATTCCTTCCGCCGATTATATTTTACTCCATAAGTAAATTAATATAATATATTTATTTTCTCAAAACCAATTTAGGTGAATGAGAAATTAAGACTAAAAGATGACCACTTGAAGTTGAAATAAATTGGAATAAAAATTGATGGAAAATTGAAAAAAAGACAATCCCATATATGAATACTAGAATAATAGAAATCATTTTATATTGCTCAAGTTTGGGACTTTGGTTTGGACCCAAAAGAGTATCAATAGTCTTTGAAGGGGATAGAATCTACATGCTAGTAGATTGAGCAAAAGCACATGCACGCTTGCTGCTGCCGTCCGATCGACAGGCACGAGTCTCAGGTCGTGGCCTTGGCTTGACTTGGACTTGAGTCAAGTTATATATATTTTTTGATAACATAATATTTGAATTATATTATTTCTGTGCGTGACAAGTGTTTTCTTCTTGAAGATGGTAGTTGACAGTTAAACTGTATGTCCAAACGGTTTGTGTCTGTTGAATACACAATTTTTTGGTTGTTGTGTCTTTTGGACATAACTTTTTTAATTTCTATATAAATGCCCTCATACCCCGATTTTCATTCATTCCAAAATCAGAATTGATTTTATTTTTTTTCAAAATTTATTCCATATTTCGCAATTCGATCTCGAAAGTCATTTTCGTGTATTTTAGTTCTCCAATTTTCTAGAGAGATCAAAACGTGAGTAAGTTCGCTAGATCTTGTAATTTGGAGTACTACAGTTACAAGTCAAGGTCGTGTATCTTGAGAAACAAGTGCCGGAATACCTTCAACACCAGAGTGGGACATTATCATCTTAAGGAAAAAGAATCGAACTCTTGCCTCGACCATTAATATTTTATATCATTCATTTTGCACGATATTATTCTGTCCAAATTAATTCACGATAACATCATTATTTGCCAACATCGTTTCCGAAGCCAATTCATCATGGCATCCTTACGCAATAACATTAAGAGACTGTGTCACATAAACATTAAGCGAAGGGGGCTTTTCACGAATATTCCTCAAATTTGTCAACGTAAACACAGGAGTTTCCTGCAAGCACAATTTTAAAAAAAAAAGTAAAGTTCATAGTATTGCATCTGTTAATGTATATACATATATACACAATGTACATATTAGTTAGTCCCACATTGATTAGAAAGTAAAACATTCATATCAAGTTAAATTATAAATATGATGTCTCTCTTGTAAACAAATTACACTATTCAATACAATTTTATTCTCTTTGTATTGTCTTATTTTCTCTCTTAAATTCAACTTGGTATCAAAGCTACTATTCTTAGTGGTTTTCGATATATCAAGAGTTGAGTATGCTCTGTGATTGCCACTATT